TCCATGTTCTAAGGCCCCTCCCAGCTCTGACATTCCATGTTCTAAGGTCCCTCCCAGCTCTGACATCCCCTGTTCTAAGGTCCCTCTCAGCTCTGACATTCTTTGTTCTAAGGGCCCTCCCAGCTCTGACATCCCCTGTTCTAAGGTGCCTCCCACCTCTGACATTCCCTGTTCTAAGGCCCCTCCCAGACCTGGCATTCAGGGACTCTGTCTTAAGTTGTTGCCTGGTGTCTTTCCTCCTCTCCTTCTGCAGCCCGAGGAGCTGACCAACATCTTGGAGATCAGTAACGTGGTGTTCACCAGCATGTTTGCCCTGGAAATGATCCTGAAGCTGGTGGCCTTTGGCCTCTTCGATTACCTGCGGAACCCTTACAACATCTTTGACAGTATCATCGTCATCATCAGGTACAGGGGCTGGGTTGTCTCTCCCCCTCCCCATGGTCAGGGCCACCCCTCCCCCATTCACCGGGAGCCTGCCACACACCCTCAGACACCCTCCCCAAGCACAGAGGCTGCCTCAGTCCCTCTCCTGGCTTCTTTCATCCCCTGACCCCCACTCCCCACCATCGAGGAGCTGATTCTGCAGGCAGCCTCCTCCGGCTGCCACCTGCCTTGCAGTGTGTCCTCCAGAGGCTGAGAAAGGGAAAGGGAAAGGGAAAGAGACACCGTCTTCATCAGCCCATTTGGCTCAGCTTTGGTTGGAGGGCAAAGGGGTGGGAGGAAGCAGGTGGCACCGAGGTTGAAGCTCTGGGCAAAAATGAAGCTTGGAGACTCAGAGGGATTTTAATTAACTCTGCTAGGTCTGCCCTATGACCAGGATGATCCTGCGACAGGCAGAGTAGCAGGAATAACTCATCCCTCCATCCCTCATCCTCTGTTCCACCCCCGCCCCGCTTTCTCTCTGGTCTCCCCCATCTTTCTCTTCCCCCTCACTGGCTCCTGGCTCTCTGGCTCTCTTATCTCTCCCCTCCTCTTTAACTCTCTCCCATCTCTTCCCTCCCCTGCCTCCCCTCCTCTGTCTCTCCCTCTTTCTGTATCTCTCTTCTTCCTTTCTCATGTCCCATCCTGTCGGCCTTCCTGGCTCTTTGTTTCCCCTGGACCCTGTGCCTCCCTTTGCCTCGGGCTTCTTCTTCAACTGGGCCATTCTCTGTCTCTCCCTTTTTCCTAATTCTGTTCTCATTTGGTATTCCCTCTGCATCTTTCCTCCATTCCTCCCCTTCTCCTGGTGCCATCTCTCCTCCTATGCCTCGAAACTTCTTGGATTTTTTTCTTTCTACCTTGCCTGCTCCCTGGGCCTCAACCCTCTATCTCTTTCCACTTTTCCTCCCTCTCCGCATCTCCCCTCCTCTGTTCTTTCTATGCTCCCGCTTGTCTCTGGTGCAAACTCCCCTTCTGTGCTCTGTCTGCTCCCTGCTTCTCCCCTTCCCACTTCTCCCCCTCCCTCTTTCTCTCCTCCCTGCTTCTCCCCCTCCCTCTTTCTCCCCTCCCTCCCCCTCCCCTCCCCCTCCCCCTCCCCCATTTCTCCCCTCTTTCGCTCCTCCCTCCCCCGCTTGGCCCCCGCAGTATCTGGGAGATCATTGGCCAGGCGGACGGGGGCCTCTCTGTGCTGCGGACGTTCCGCCTGCTGCGCGTGTTGAAGCTGGTCCGCTTCATGCCAGCCCTGCGCCGCCAGCTGGTGGTTTTGATGAAGACCATGGACAACGTGGCCACCTTCTGCATGCTGCTCATGCTCTTCATCTTCATCTTCAGGTGGGCGAGCCATCGGGGGTGCCAGCCACACGCGGGCATCGTCCCAGGGGCTGCCCAGGAGCCGGCTCCATCTGCCGCTGCCCGGGGAATCCCCCAGCTGCCCCCGACTCTCAGAGCACGGAGGGCCCCCCAGGAGCGAGGCAGGCCCAAGCTACTGGGCACGGTAGAGGGGCACTCCTCCTGGCAGAGGACTGGAAGCCCTCCTCCTGAGAACTCTGCTGCCTCTTGGTTCTGGATACAAACTCCTAAGGAAAACAGCCTCTGCCCGCAAGGAGCTTGCATTCTGCTAGGACAGAGTAGCACGAACAAGAAATGTGAAAAGTAATTACAGTCGGAGGAGCAGGACCCGCCCCATTTGGGGGCTGGCCCTTGCATGGTCTTGAAGGGAGCTAGGAGCAGCCGCCCTGTAGGCACGGGGAGCCGCCCCTAAGGACGTGGAGGTGGCGAGGCCACGTGTGGACAACAGCGAGTCAGCCTGTGTGGCTGGCAGAGAGAACGCAGGATGGGGAGTGGGATGAACGGGGTCCAGGGACGCAGGTTGGAGCCGAGAGCTTCGGAGGGATTTGAATGAAGGAAGGAGAAGGAAAGGCCAGGAGGTGGGAGAGGTCTGGGGGATGAAGGAAGTGATGGGGCAGGGATGGCAGCCCTGGTGGGGATGAAGGAGAGATGGGAGGGTGGCCCGGGGCTCCCTCTGCGCTCTAACCAGCATCTCTCTACTGCGCTCCGAGACGTCACCGGACCCTTCTCTTCTTTTCAGCATCCTAGGGATGCACATTTTTGGCTGCAAATTCAGCCTCAGGACTGACAGCGGAGACACGGTGCCCGACCGGAAGAACTTTGATTCGCTCCTCTGGGCCATTGTCACAGTGTTCCAGGTGAGGGTGAAAGAGAAGATCCCTACCCTCAGCCCTCCGCCTGGCCGAGACCACTGGGCCCAGGCAAGCGTAGTCTACCCCTCCCCCAACGCACATACACACACACCTTCCCCCCTCCCCCCAACAGTGACGTCCCCGCGGGTCCAGAAAGAGGAGCAACCCAAGCCCTAGGCGGGGCGTCTAGGGAAAGGAGGGGTGACATGCACTTCATAGGAGTAATGAAAGTCGGGGTTGACAGTCGTTCCCAGGGCTACTAAGTGGGCTTGTCAGCTTATGTCTAAGCAGCCTACAACTAAATGAAAGCATACACAATAGAGGAGAATGCACAAGTGTGAGTGTGGATGAGAGAAGTATACGAATGGAGGGGAGTAGACATATAAGTGTGCAAGCTTGAGGAGCCTGCACAGGTGTGAGAGTGAAGAAGTGAAAATGTGCAAGACAGAAGTGTGTGACTA